TAACATCCTACTCTTTGTCTCCAGTAACATGGAAATTCAATTTTTTAAAAATACAGTGCTTGGGGTTGAGGCTGTGGCTCAGCAGTAGAGCGCTTGCCTAGCATGTGCGAGGTCCTGGGTTCAATCCTCAGCACCACATAAAAATAAATAAAGAGGGGCTGGGGTTGTGGCTCAGCAGTAGAGTGCTCGCCTCGCACGTGCTAGACCCTGGGTTCGATCCTCAGCACCACATTAAAAAAAATAATAAGTGAAATAAAGGTATTGTTTGCAACTACAACTAAAAAATAAATATAAAAAATAAATAAATATAAAAAAATAAATAAAATAAATAAATAAAGATATTGAGTCCAACTACAACTAAAAAATAAATATTAAGCCTTGGGTTTGATCCTCAGCACCACATAAAAATAAATAAAAATAAAGGTATTGTGTCTAACCAAAACTAAAAAATAAATATTAAAAAAAAAAATTCAGTGCTGGCCTGGGGATATAGCTCAGTTGGTACAGTGCTTGCTTCACACACACAAGGCCCTGGATTCAATCCCCAGCACCTAAATAAATAAATAAATAAATAATTCAGTGCTGGGGGTTAAACTCAGGGCCTGATACCTATGAAATATTCTATCACTAAGCTCCAGCACTGGCCTGTCTATTGAATTCTTTTTTTTTTTTTTTTAAACCTTTCCTGGTACTGGGAATTGAACCCAGGGTTGCTCTACTATTGAGCTACATCCTGACCCTTTCACTATTTTCTATTTTGAGACAGGGTATTCCTAAATTGTCCAGGTTGGCCTGAACTCACGCTTCTGCATGCCAGGCGAGCGCGCTACGGCTTGAGCCACATCCCCAGCCCGAATTCACTTTTTTTTTTAAAGCACGAGAGATTGGACCCAGGGCCTTATGTAGTGACCAGTGAGCTACATCCCTAGTGTGACTTTCTAAAAGATGAGTTGAACTGAAGCGCCTCTACTCAATTTAATCACTGATTCTAATTCTTTCACTTGGAACTATAAAGGGTGATTGATAACAACCTTCATTCTGTTTGCAGAAATGTGACATTCCTTATAAATCTTTTCAGTAAAGCTTGGGCTCTTCATCCTCATAGCTGACCCCTATCTTTAATATTGTGGTATATCAAAGGAGGATAATATTCCATAAACACAAAAAACTAGCCTTATTTTAATAGAATCCAGAACTACATTTATATCAACTTTTAAAAACATTACAAGTTGCAAAGTCAGACCACTATATTGTGTCAGCACTACAGAATTTTACATAGATATTGAAAGGCCTTTATGTAGGTCACCCCTAATAAGCTTCTATCTTCACCCAACAGTTGAGTCTGTCAACATTTTGAATTTCAAATCTGCCATTTGTTATATTAGCTATTCAGCTCCCTCTGTTTCATTTTTCTATAAATTCAACAATCATGTTTCCTACATCTTAGTCCTTGAAAATATATGGGGAGGTTGGTTAGAACAAAAACAAAGTCCTCTAAAGTCTGTCTATTGTGCCTACAGGTGATAACACAATAGTTATTAAAAAAAACAAATAATAGTATTTAGAGGTTGAATTCTACCCTGTTGTTTGTAACAAAATAATGCTGTGATCATATGAAGACATGATTCTACCTATTTATTATTTCAATGACACCTAGTTAACACAGGACAGGAAACATATATCTTGCAGAACTAAAAAACTGAAACTTACACTAAATGCTTCCTTGTTGTTTTTAATGGCACAGGATTCTTCAGCTTTATGGTCCTCTTCTAACACAACACTAGATGGCTAGGACAAGCAGAAACATATATTACAAAGCAGTAACCAATTTTTTAACAACTTTAAATGTCAAATACAAGTCAATAAGTTTCATAAAATCTTAAATTCTTCATGGTAATAGAGTTTAGAAGGTAAGTGAGGAAGGTTTATCAAAGAAATTTCAGAAGGCAAAGGGGAGAAAAAGACAGCTTCTTCTGAAACATTTGTGTTAATCAATGTAACTTATGAAATTTTGTATCTGTAAGGTGGCAAGGCAGACTTTATCTTGAAAAACAATAAATCAAGCCATACGTAGTATATAGTTTTACATTACCTGTCAATACTGATAATATATCCCTCAGACTTAAGCAATTATATAATTCTTAAGTATTCTTTGAATTAGCACTTGCCTAGGAGGCATAAGACCCCGGGTTTGATCCCCAGCACAAGGGAAAAAAAAAAACAAAACATAGTTTAATTGGTAAATGTTACCTTTATAAAAACTATATATGAAGCCAGGCTTAGTGGCACACACCTGTAATCCCAGCGCCTCAGGAAGCTGAGGCAGGAGGATGGCAAGTTGAAGGCCAGCCTTAGCAGTTTAGAAAGACCCTGTCTCAATATAAAAGAATTGGAGGTTGGGGGGGCGGGCGCTGGGGATATAGCTCAGTTGGTAGAGTGCTTGCTTAGCATGCATTAGGCCCTGGGTTCAATCCCTAGCACCACCGCCACACACAAAAAAAAAGGAACTGGGGATGTATCTCAGTGACAAAGCAGCTTTGGGTTCTAAATAAACAAAACAACTGTATATGAAACTGGGCATGGCGGTTCAAGTCCATAATTCTAACAATTTGGGAGAATGAGGCAGTAGGATCTCAAGTTCAAGGCCAGCCTGAGTAATTTAGTAAGAACCTAAGTTATTTTTATTTTTTAAAAAATAAAAAGTGCTGGGGATGTAGCTCAGTGGTAAAACATGCCTGGGTTCAATCCCTAGTATCACAAAAACAAAAAACACAGAAACCTGTATGAGCCAGGATAGTGAGGAAACTATAATCCAAGTTACTGGGGAGACTGAGGCAAGAGGATCACAAATTCAAGGCCAGCCTGTGCAATTTAGCCAGATCCTATCTCAAAATAACAAAATTAAAAGGGCTGGGGATATATCTGAGTGGTAGAGTGTCCTAGGTTTAATCCCCAATACTACAATCAATCAATCCATTAATCAAATAAACATTCTATATGATATATAAAAACAGAGGATAAAAAAAATTAATCAGAACAATTCATTCTCCAACCCCTGATGATAAACAGCTATATATCCTTATTTGAGTGATTCTATATATCTTAAATTTTAATTTATAAAAAGCCCAGAGGCCGGGTGCGCCTGTAATCCCAGCAGCTTAGAGGCTGAGATAGGAGGATCGCAAGTTCAAAGCCAGTCTTAGCAAAAAGTGAGGTGCTAAACAACTCAGTGTAAACCCTGTCTCTAAATAAAATACAAAAAAAGGGCTGAGAATGTGGCTCAGTGGCTGTGTGCCCCTGAGTTCAATCCCCAGTTACTCACCTCCCCAAAAAAGCCCAGAAATCATAATTCTGATTTTCCCCCCCCTAGTCTGGGAATCAAACCCAGGGATACTCTACCACTCAGCTACATTTTCCAATAGTTCTTCTTCTTGTAGTATTGGGTATCAAACGACCCTGGGCCTTCACCATGCTAGCCAAATGCTCTACCACTCAGCTACATCTCCAGTCTCCTCAGTCCTTGTTCTTTATTATATTTAATCATTTCTATTATTTATTTATCTTTTGGTACTGGAGATGAAACCTAGGGGTACTTTTACCTCTGAGTTACATCCCCATTCCTTTTTATTTTGAGACAGGGCTCATTAAGTTGTTGAGGATCTCACTAAGATATTGAGGCTGGGCCTTGAACTTGTGATCCTCCTGCTTCAGGCTCCCAGTCACTGAGTTAAGGTATGTGCCACCATGCAGAGCTGCTGAAATTAACTTGCTGCTCATGACCATGTATCCAAGTTAGGAAACAAGGGGGAAAAAAAAAACACAACCCTTTAGATGTAGTCAAATCTGAATTTGATCCCGAGCAAAGAGGCCACATCCAGAGGAAAACCAGGTGGCTGCCTTGATCAGACTCTGGAGAAGGAAGCTGGTGGAACAAGAGAAGGTGAACAGGCAATCTTAACAGTCACTGTGGTTTGGATTCAAGAGGATCCCCATGGCCTAATAATTGTCAGTGAAAAACAACCTACTCATCTTAAAAAACTCTTAAATTTGAAATACCTGGGGCAAAAGATTAAAAGAAGTCTTTTCCACATCATTTTTCTGCTGTTCCTCAAATCTTTTTACTAAATTTGAAACAAATTCCTCTATTTCTTGATGATACTGCCTGTGTAAGAGGACAAGATGGTCAGAACCCAGAGAAAAACATTTAATAGACTGAAATCATCTGCATTATTTATTATAAGGTGTCATGTCTTAATCTTGTTTTATTTTCAGAGGTTTATCAAATCACCAACTCTTTATAACACTTAGGAACCTGCTCCCTAGGAAAAATATACAATGTTGCCAAGTTAACCAGATAACCTAATATAGTACTTGGCATAGGAGAGCACTGAACAGTTGTGTATAGAATGGATTTTATTTATAAATTCTATATGCTTAACTTCTGAATAGACCCCCAAAATAAATGCCTCAAAATTCAAAGAAATAAAAGGATTACATAATAAAAAGCTCACTTGTTGTTTCCTAATCACCTATTTCTGCAACACAAAGATAATATATTCAGTTTTTCCATATCCTCCTCCCAGAAATTCTTCATGCACATATAAGGAACCACCCATTTAAATATGAAACTAGAAAAAAATAATTAAAAACCAAAATATATTGCAGGAAAAATATATACTATTTTCTCTATCACTCCAGGTCACTGACTATATTCATCAAATATTCTATAATGCTCCATATAGGAGACGTCAAAGGAACTGATATCTTGTTATGCTTTAACTGGGCAGCCATACTGTCTCAGGCTCAGGCCAAATGTGCCAAAGGCCAGCTCTGCCCAGCACCTTCCTGAGGCTACTGCATTTACCATACAGATTCCTTCCCCACCCTTAGAGTCTTGGCTTCCACTTCTACTGAGATGAAGCGTGGCATGTGTTCTCTTTATCTTCTTTACCATGACCAGCACATAAAAAAAGAATTAAGTGACTTGGGAGGGGGAAAACAACTGTCTGAAATGCCTACGACCAAGCTCTGAGGATGGGACAGGGCAAGGCCTCAAACCACTTCAAGACACTCTAGCAAGCACTGTAGGAATGCTCTGAGTTACCCAAACTCCAGCATGCTGGAAGGCTTGCACAGGTCTAGTTTTGCTGTGAAAGAAAAATATAACGTGGGAGGTTTTAAAGATCAGTTACCTGATAGAAAATTCAGTTATCTGATTCTGGGACAGAAATGGCTATTATTATTATTATTCTGATAGTGGTGGTCCTTATTCTTATTAGAAGTAAGCTCTTACAGGTGCTCATTCAGCTACTTAAGAGGAAACAATATTAGTATATTGTTTTCCCATATAAGAAACTAAGGACATAGAAAGGTTCCATGACCTGCCTAGGTTCACAGATATAGAAAGTAGAAGTCCAGATTAAATTCAAGTCTATAAAACTCCCATGGCCTTGCTTTTAATCTTTATTTCAAATATTTTAACTCTAGGAGGATCTTAAGTAAAATAACAAATTTAATATAAATACAAAAACAGCATACTTATAGAAGACATTAATGCATATTTAGGGAAGAGAAAATTACTTACTTTGAAATAGCATTGTTCATAAATAGAATTTGTAATAAAGGTCCATCTAACTTAGTATTGTTCACCAATATTCCACTAAAACAGAAGTTAAAATATATTCTTAGAAGATATCAAAGTAATATGTGTATATGTACATATATATAAAACAGTTTTAATAATTCTTAATTACTAAAGATAATATATAATATTAATAATATAGTATAAATAAGATGAAGAACCACCAAGAATTTCAGTTTTCTCAAGAAAAATCTAGGTTTTCACCAACTTTATCTACTTCAATGATTGATTTTACACAGAGGTATCTCTTACTCAACATTTTTTTTTAATATTTTTATTTTTTTTAGTTATCGGCAGACACAACATCTTTGTTTGTATGTGGTGCTGAGGATCGAACCTGGGCCGCACGCATGCCAGGCGAGCGCGCTACCGCTTGAGCCACATCCCCAGCCCTCTTACTCAACATTTAAAAAAAAATGTTTCTGCAAAAAATAAGAACCACAGTTAATCTTTCCTGTCTTTTCTTTTGTGCTAGGGATCAAACCCAGGACATCATCCCCAGTATAATCTTTTAATTTTTAACCAAAAAGCTTCCTTCCTTAAGGGCTATTTTCTTTAAAAATCACGGGAGGAAGGAAAGGATAAATCAACAGGTTAAAAGAATATATTTCTAGGGCTGGAGATACAGCTCAGTTGGTCGAGTGCATGCCCACATGCCCAAGGCCCTGGGTTCAATCTCTAGCACCACAAAAAAAGAAAAAAAAAAAAGAATATATTTCTAGCTGGTGTGGTGGTACACACCTGTAATCCCAATGACTTGAGAGGCTGAGGCATGAAGATCATAAGTTCAAAGGCAGCCTCAGCAACTTAGCAAGCCCTAGTCTCAAAAAAAAAAAAAAAAAAAAAAAAAGAAAAGAAAAAAAAGAAAGGGCTGGGGATGTAGCTCAGTGGTACAGCATCCCTAGGTTCTATCCCTAGTGCTGCTTTTACACAAAACCAAAAAAACCTTTTTCTTCTTCTAAATGTTGTGTCTTGAATAATTTCTATGAACATATTTAAATTATACAAATAAATCTTTGGCTAGAGGAATATTATAATACTTAATTCAAACTTCCCAGAATGTTTTTTTAATAGGAATAGCTGTGTTGATAATTTGCTAACTAACTATTAACATTTAGTCAAAAATGTCTGGATTGTGGTTCATAATACTTTCTCTTAGGCAGTTTAAAAGTTTTATGCACTTATGAGAATTTAGATTTTACACCCAGAAGTTAATAAAGAACTAGTATTCTAATTCCTTTAGAGTATGTTTAACAAATGACAATGATAAAATAAATCGTATACCCCTTTTGAAAGAAATTCTGATTATATATTAATATCCAGATAAATAATAAGGGACAACTATGTTGTAATTTCAAGATGTCATACCTTGGTCGAGTTAGAATGTTCAACTTTCTTTTAAGTTCTTGATGTTATTACTTGTTAAGGAATATTAATCCTCATTAAACAGAATCATGTAGATCACAAAATTCAACTTAACTATCAACACTCTCACTTTTGGTATCAGAAAGCTGATGACATACTTACTAAGCACCTGTTTGTTTGCAGGCAAGGCATTTGGCTTTAAAGCCAAAAACATTTACATCCCTTTGAATATATGTATACATATATTTTTTTGTGGGGGGGTACTGGGCACTGAACTCAGGGGTGCTCCACCACTGAGTCACATCACCAGCCCTGTTTTGTATTTAATTATTTAGAGACAGGGTCTCACTGAGTTGCTTAAGGCCTCACTAAATTGCTGAGGCTGGTTTTGAAGTCTCGATGCTCCTGCCTCAGCCACGATTACAGGCGTGTGCCACCAGGCCCGGACGTATATTCTAAAACACAATCCTGAAGTTAAAAAGTCTAGCAGACTAAACCATTATTCAAATAACGGTGTCCATGGCACAAGTTTAAACAGCCAATTAGGAAACTTATTCTAAGTCAAGGCTTCATTATAGGAGGAAAGCAAACGCAGAGTAATTAAACAGTTAACAACTGAAGAATCTAGGATGCAATTATAAATGTCCTCCAACTGTCCGTATCGAGAGAAATTTTTCATAATAAAAAAAATTAGGGGGCTATGGATATAGCTCAGTTGGTAAGAGTACTTGCCTCGCATGCACAAGGCTCTAGGTTCAATCCTCAGCACCATTAAAAAAATAAAAAGTACATGAAAAAAAAATCAGACTTCAAAAACCTTAAAAGCTTGACATACCTTCTACACTTAAGGATCCTTGCAAATTTCAAAAGGAAAACTGAACCAAAATTATCTATATATAGTTTTCCAAACTCAAATAATGAAAACACATTAGCAAATCCAGAATGTAATCAGGTAACTAAAGCCAAACGGAAACTCTTTTGGCACGTTTCCCCCAAAGCAATGAAATGCAACCTAGCTTAAGGTGGAAGAGCTCTAAAAGTAATTCTCAATCCTAATTAAACAAACAATTAACTATATCTCTTTGCAAGACCGGATTCCTCAAGACCCCCAACTCTGCATCCTAGGACCATCTGCTTTTGCGCCGCCATCCAAGCGCTCAGTATTCGGTATCGCCTAACATACTATATAGTAAGACTGTTTCAACTTGAGCTTGTCTGCACTGAATGAAATTGGATCATGAAGTCAAACAGAGGGATAAACGTGAGGACCTGCCTGCAATCTAACAGCTAAGCAGTCTAAAATCACCCTAAAAACGGAACCCAGTCGGGGCTGCAAGGATGGACTCCTAAGGAGACGGGTTTCCAACACCGAGGTTTGCGCGGAGGCCTCGGGGCAGCTTGCGCAAAGCCCGCACGCGGGGGCGGCAAAAGGCTTGGAATCCCGGCCCCTGTGGAATCTCCGCCGCGTCCGCGCCCGGCACGGACCCGCGCCCGCGATGACAGGGCCCGGCCAACCGGAAGGATATTCTCGGCGCGGAGCTGCTCGATGGTCTCCTCGCACTGCCGAAGCCTCTCCCGCAGCTCCGCGTCACCAACCCCGTCCTCGTCCTCCGGGTCGCCGTCGTCGTCCTTGAAACGGGTGTGAACGGGCTTGGGAATCGACTCCTCCGGGGGATCGAAAGCCTCGAACAGCTCTAGGTCGCCAAAATCCACCTCCGCCGCCATCTTGGGTTGTGGGAAAGATTCGAGAAGAGGCGGAGCGGGCCACCGAGGCAGGGGACGAAGGTTGTAGGGCGGCTCCGCTCTCCAGGCTCGGGCCGCGCGGGGACAGCGAGTAGGGTGTTCTCCACACGCCGGCCGCCCAAACTGCACCTGGGGCGGGGCCGCCCCGAGAGACTACAGTTCCCAGAATGCAGCGGCGCCGCTCAAGCCCACTTCCGATTTCGCCAGAGAGCGTGGCATGCCGGGACGTATGGTTCCTAAGCGACTGTTAACTCGTTGTTTGCACTGCATACTGGGATTGATCTTTTCTGAAACGTGGAGAAAGCCTGACTGGATCAGAATGCGTTAAAACAATAGGGATTGGCCCTGTTAGGCACTTAAGGCTCAGAAATCAGAGGACGACGCAAGACTTATTACGCTTTTTGGTGTGCCTGCTAAACGGCAACAAGAGAAGAAAGAACTCCAGCTTTAGACAAGCTAGTTTATTGGGATTGTTTCCTTCTTTATGTAAAATTAGGTAGATTATTAGACTATTTTAGATTTTTTTTCTTTAATGAGGTCTTCTGTGGTTTCTCTCGTTTAATCACACGTACAACACATATTTACCAAACCTCCTTTAGGACTTGAGGATGCAAGAGTGAGCAAAATAAATCCCTACTCTTAGGAAGCCTGCAGTAAAGATGAATCTACAATTCAAAAACCACCTTAGTTACAGATGTGTGTGTTCTTAAACGGAGCTCGACCGGTATTCTTCACAATGTGATCAACAATGCCAGGCATGGTAGAGCTTGCCTGTAATCCCAGGGGCTCCCGTGATCGCAAGTTCAAAAATCAGTCTCAGCAATTTAGTGAGACTCAAAGCAATTTAGCAAGAACCTGTCTCAAAGTAAAAAATATAAAATGGCTAGGGATGTCGCTTGGTGTGGTTAATCATTCCTGGGTCAATCCCTGGTACAAAAACAATACAAAAACTCAGTAAAGTGTGAATCACTGAAGTGAGGAAATGAGATCTGAACTGAAATGTGTTGGGTTAAAAACACATAGGAGGGGCTGGGGTTGTGACTCAGCAGTAGAGTGCTTCCTAGCACCTGTGAGGCCCTAGATTTGATCCTCAGCACTACATATAAATAAAACAAAGGTATTGTGTCCAGCTACAAAAATAAAACAAATGAACAACAAAACGCATAGGTAGTGAGACCATGGGAAACCTAAGAGCACACAAAGTATTGGGTGCAATAACTAGCACAAGAAAAATGTGACAATAGTGGAATTAGCTAGATCTTTTTTTTTTTTTTTTTGCTACTGGGGATCGCACCTAGGGTCACTTAACCGGAACCACACACCCAGGCCATTTTAAAATATTTTATTTCATCTTGTTAAATTGCTTAGAGCTTTGCTAAGTTGCT